ACACACACACACACACACACACTCTCACACACACACACACACACACACACACACACACACACTCACTATAACACTTCACACATGCATTTTCATTCATTCATAAGCTATAATGGTTACAATAAAATTTTAGTTCAAAAATGTAAGTGCCATTGTTTAAAAACCATGCTTTATTGACTAACGTTTCATAGACGTTCAGTTATGCTTTCAAATTCTGTGCCATTTGTAGCCTCTGTAATTTCTTTATAAAAGCCATATCTATTGTTTAATTAATGAAAGTGATCTGAGAACATGAACTATCGTGAGTAAGATTAAATAAGGTCACATCTGTCCATTACGGGGCAGCCAGATTTCACATTCTTCATTCTTCATTCACAGATATGAGAAAAGAACAGAAAATGACTTGGCTTAAACATTCATTTCTCAGCACTGAAGTGTAGTTTGTGCAGCTTCTCTTGATGCGTAAACAACAGCTTCTCTCTTAACAGCATGTTCTCTTCAGCTTACAGGGTTAGAAACATAAGCTGAAGCTGACCAGTCATTTTAGGTTATTTAATAATAACCACGCAACGTTCTGGGAACATTACTGTATGTGCTGTTGATCTTCATCTCTCAATGATTGTATGAACATATAAACCTGTGTAATAATATAATATATAATAATATCTTCATCTCCCGAAGCTTCGAAATGATTCGTTTCTCTCATCACTGTCAGAAAGCATACACATAGAGTCAAGAAAGAGGAATACGATCGCAACATTCATATTAGATGAGCACGTTTAATAATAATAGCACATTCTCTTTCGTCTGATCAGCTGAGCGACACGTTTTCTCTGCATATCGTTCTTGTAACTGCGCGCTGCTGTCGATTTAAATAATAAAAGTCCGGAAGCGGAAGTGACGTTTGCTGAGAGACATAGAGCAAGCGCAAGCGCTAAGAATATGTAGTGGGGCGTTTAAATCATCTCCAGTAGCGGCTTTACAGGTAGAAACTGGGGAGATGCCTCTAAGCATTAGAAGACTTAAACTGATGCTTGCATATTGGGTTAACATACAAGGGCATAGTGAGTTACACCCTACAAAGGCAATAGTACAAGAGTGTTGGGAACATAATAAATCAAATTTTAGGAGTTTTGGATGGATAGGAAGTGCAAAAGCAAGGAAGGCATGTTTACATACTATACAAAACTGTCCAACAGTTCCATACTCTGACGTTCCCCCTTGGAAGCTTGTAATGCCAGTAACTGACTTGCAATTACAGGAAGAAATAAAAAGAAAATCGAAATGTATGCCTGTCTGGTGTATAGTTAAAAACTATATGGAGCTGCATTTCACCAATAAAATAGTTTTATTTACAGATGGTTCAAAGAACCCTGAAAGTATTCATCCCACAATGCAAGGAAAATATTACAAAGAGAACAACAGATGACTTATCAGTGTAGACAGTAGAACTGGTGGCAATAATATTAGGTTTACAGTGGATAGAACGAAGAAATAAAAACAATGTAGTAGTAGCATCTGCTCTCATGAGTATTGGGTCCGGGAAATCATGTAGACTTGACATTTTAAATGAAATATATCATATAATCCTTAGATTACACAATAATGGTACGAATGTATCATTTATCTGGGTTCCTGCGCATGTAGGTGTGAAAGGAAACGAAGAGGTAGATCTTTTAGCAAAACAATCCCTCAAATCCCAAACAATAGAGCTACAGGTTAAATGAAGTAAAGCTGAAGCCAAGACTATAATAAAGGTACATACACAACATCTATGGCAGGAATACTGGGATATTCATGATACAGGAAGACATTTTTATAATATTCAAAGCAAAGTTGGTGTAGGAAGAGAAATGGGTAAAAATCGGAGGGAGGAAACAGTCATTACTCGTCTCAGAATAGGACATACAGGGCTCAATAAGACTCTGCATTTAATAGGTAAAC